GCGTTCCTTCATTTTTATATTTAATAAAAGCTCTTTTCTTAATATCTAAAGCTTTTTTAACTTTGGCCGTAAGCCACATAGGTTTGATTTTTAGCCTTTTAAACTTGTTGCCCATGGGAATATATTTTGCAGTGTGTTCACATACAGTCTTTTTGAAGAACTCCCATTTCTGTGTTGTGTTCATTGATGCCAATATTCCTTCCCAGTCTAAGTCTTGGAGAGCAGCTCTCAGCCTTGGAAAATTAGCTCTCTTAAAATTGAGGGTTTTTATTTTTCCCGTATGTGCTTGCTGTTTACAGCTAACAATAAATGAAATCATGTTATGGTCACTGCTACCCAGATGTTCTTTTATATGGACATTCGTAATAAGCTCTGCATGGTTTGAGATTACCAGTTCCAGTAGAGCATCATTCCTAGTTGGGGCCTCTATGAACTGTACCATAAAATTGTCCTGAAGTAGGTTTAAAATTTTCTGTCCTTTAACTGTTCCTGCAGTACCATTACTCTAGTCAATTTCCGGTCTTCAACTAGGTCATCTTTCACACTCACTCTGAGATCACTTCTCACATAGAAACCATACACCACCACCTTTCCTATTTACCCTGTCTCTCTGAAAGAGAACATAGCCAGGAATATTAATGTCCCAGTCATGTGAAGAATGAAGCCAAGATTCAGCAATACCAATTAAATCATAGTTCTCTTCATGCACCAAAGCTTCCAACTCACCTATTTTGCTTGGCGGACTTCTGGCATTGGTGAACAAACACTTTAATACATTGACACCTTGTGCACAAGTATGTTGCATATTTTTTTTTTCATACAAATAGTACCAATTCCACTGGTTGTTTGTAACATGGGAAACTTATTATCATCTGCCATAGCCCTCCCCCCATCTTTCCCCATTCCTCCCACCAATAAGTACTGACCCCTGTCTGATCTAACTACCCCATTATAATCTAATTCTCCCTCCACCCTCGATCCTAGTTTTAATACTCCTCCAGGCTTCCCATAAGCCTCTCCCCCAGCACAGCAGACCCACTTCCATTTAGGTGCAAACCATCTCTAGCATATAGGCTACACCCAAATGAAAAGTCATCCAATGCTCTAGAAACCCAAATCCTTCCTTCTTACACCGGGCCTTTAGCCATGCATTGAGTTCCCTAATCTCCCCCTGTCTTTCCTGAGTTGTGCATGGCACAGGTAATAGTTCAGAGAATATCACCTTGGAGGTCCTTCCCTTCAACTTGCAGCCTAGTTCTTTAAATTGATTCTTAAGGAGCCTCCACCTTACATGTATTCTGTCATTGGTTCCAACATGGACCAAGACAGCTGGGTCATGCCCAACCCCTCCCAGTAATTTATCAACCCGGTCAACCACATGCCGAACCCTGCCACCAGGGAGACAGCAAACCATTCAGTTGAGGTGATCCTGGTGACAAATTATTCCATCAGTCCTTCTGATTATAGAATCCCCTACTACCACCAGCTGTATAGGCCTTCCTGCACTACTCTCACCACCCCTCTCAGATGGTCTGCCTTCCCAGAATAAATTGTTAGGGATAGCAGTGACATCCAGGGCTGCCACCCCTGAGCTTACCACCATCACATCTTCACCCAACTTGGAAAATCTGTTTGGGTGCACAAACCCAGGGTCAGCTTTCCTTTTCTGTGAGCTCCGACCACTCCCTCTCATTACAGATGGTCAGCCCTCCTGGCTGTTAGGGATAGCAGTGACAACCAGGGCTGCCACCCCTGAGCTTGTCACCCCCACATCTTCACCCAACTTAGCAAATCTGTTTGGGTGCACATACCCAGCCTTCCTTTTCTGTGAGCCCCTACCACTCCCTCTCATTACAATAACCCATGTCCCTACCTGATAATCCTGATTAGCCCCTCCGCCCTCCACATTAATCTCATTAGCTACCTATTCAGTGAGCAGAAGACCCCTTTCAAGGTTGTCGGTTCTGCCCAGTGGTGCAACTTGCGCCTCCAGATCTCTAACACAAGTTTCCAGAAGGGAAACCTGCTCATATCTGTTGCAGCGGTATCCATCCTGGAGCTGTTGCTCCATTTTTGCATACGTGTGAAACACTGTGCACTGTACAAAACCTTCCATCCTGCTAGCACACATTATACCAATTACAATATTAATACAAAATATCAGTTGTCACTTACAGGTTTGTTCTTCCTTTTCTTTATGTAATATTGTACAAGAATGTCTTTAATGGCTTTTATAGAGCCACATTAGTTGACATATTTCTGCCCTGACAGATTCAATTACTGTCAGTCTATGTAGATCTTTATATTATGTGGTTAAAATAAACAGCCAAAATACCTATGCAAAAAGTAAGTTCAGAATCTGCAATCTGCTTAATTAGCCTTTCCTAATTTCAAGGAGTATAGAGATACTTAGCCTGTCTCTTTCATTAGCAGATCTACAGAGACACACAGTCATTAGGTACGTGTGGCGGAGGTGAAAAAAGCAGAAGAGGGCATGTTTGGGGCTCTCTCTGCTCTCTGCGGTACATGGATCATTCATGGTTCACTTGCCTCTGTTTTTTCCTTATGTCCCAATGTGTCACCCAAAGTCAGAATGTCTTAGGGACAAGTCATGTGTGACCATATCAGGCAAACAGCCTGGCTCTCATCCATCGAGACTGGCTGTCATTTCAGGTCTCTGGGTGCCTCGCTGTTTCACTGTAATACATTTTCTTTATATATAAACTATGTGCCACAACCATTTATTTATTTTTTTAATTTTTTATCGTGTCTTTTACAGGTCCTTTTTTCCCATGCATCTTTAGATACAATTTATTTTATAAAAGTAAAATTTTTTGGCAGCATTAATTTAAAGGAACACTATTTTTACAACAAAAAACCCCAAACAAACTGCGTTAATGCTTCAAATATCCATTCAGTAAAACATATATTTTCCTCACTATCATGACAAACATGGCCTCAACATTTTTCATACTGTAGACTGTAGACCTCCTATACTGCCCCTTTATGCATCCCATACTTGTCAGGGCAGGAGCTGTGGAATGGACAGGCAGGCCTAATGGCAGGGTCACGCACCGACTGGCGACAACCACCACCCACAGACCGGTGTCCCTCAAGGCGCGGAGCCTAAGCCCCAGGCTGCCCTTCACCAGGGCCCTTGATGGTGGGGATGGACTTGACGCAGCCAGGAACCAGGTCGCGGCCCCCGAGAAACCCCAGCTGCGGTAATGGCTGCCTCCAATGGTGTATGGCTGGTAGGAACCAGATAAGAACGATAGTGTAGTCGGACAGGCCGGGTCGATAACAGCGGGACAGACAGTATGGAACGGTAGACAAGAATACACAGGTCACAAGCTGGGTTCAGCAACGGGAGGTCAGATAAAGGGATAAGGCTGAGAATAGTCTTAGACAAAGCCGAGTCAGTTTCCAGGAGAGCCACGAGAGTAGAATAAGAGCTTGCAACAACACTATCAAACAGGACACGAATGCAGAGAGAACTTGCAGACAGCAGGCTTAAATGTGATCAACCACACCCTTCTGAGGAGGAGCCGCAGAAGCCTGAAGGCATAAAGGTTCCCACCATGCTTTGCAGAAACCTAAGATGGATGCCAGCACATGGAGATGCACAAGTTCTGAGGAAAGGTAGGACCTTGACAGTACTACTACATACTACCACTGCCTGTACTGTACTCCCTTGAAAAACTGAACTGAAGACATGCAACCATCTACCAAATTAACTAATAACCTATGATTTACATCATCATAGGCTTTGAGCTATTGACCATCAATAACACATTTTATGAATTACTCCCCTTAACTAACTTGAAATCATTTTGATTAAATATTGGATGACACATGGCAGCCATCAATTAAATTATTGGCTCTTCATCAGAACTGTATAACTGAGGACTTGTGACCTCCCCCACCCTTCCCCACTGATGACCTGTGATGCCTACATTGACTGATGACCTATACTGTTCCCATGGGTGCAGCTGCATTAAGATTTTACTTGACTTAGAGGTTCATTATCATTCATATCCAGGGGCGGACTGACCATTTGGAAACTCGGGCACTGCCTGAGGGCTCGGGGTCAGTAGGGGGCCCCATGAGAGCCCCTGGTACCTTTTTTCATAGGCTTTTTTGAGTTTGGGCAAGGATACAGGGGCCCCATGATCCCCTATTGCCCGAGGGCCCCATGAGTTGTCAGTCTGCCCCTGTTCATATCTATCTATCTATTGTGAAGTGAATGTACTTGGGCAATAGTAAAATGGGAAGCCCAAAATTGTTCTGGCATAGGGAAACCAGCTGGATTTCAATCCACTTTAAAGTGGATGTAAATCCTAGACATCAAATATAAACAAAACATATCCCTCTATAGTGTGTACATGTCTCAGTTAAGAGCACTAAGTTTAATTTCTGTCTGCTGCTTTGTTCCTCTGAATTTAGCATGAGTCTGAATCAGTTCATCACTTCTGACTAGTTTTCTTGTCACCAAGAGAAAAATGGTGACAGGGGAGGGACCTTCAGCAGACTGGCAGCCTCAGCTCTGTTCCTGTGGTGAGCTGTGTGTATGTGTGTGTGTGGGGGGGGGAGGGGGGTTGTCTCTTCCCTCCAATCAGCTTTCAGAACTCTCCTCACCGAGCTCTTCAGAGTGTAATATCAGCTCTCCGCCCCCTTATTTCTGAGCTTTGACAAGCTTTATCAATTCCGGACGTTAAACGAAAGAGAAGTGAGAACTGCAGGTAAACAGTATGTAGGAGGATTTGTTTAATCTCTGTTTATCACCTAAGGCCAGTCACTTCAGTGTTTATATGTAAGGGTTTACAACCACTTTAATGGTGGCAAGATGGAAGAGATCAGGGAGAAGGTGTTCCACAATCTACTCTGCTGAATGTGAACCCAGACAAGCTCAGCACTGAGCATTTCCTGTTAACAGCTCTACAAATCCTAGCTGAAAAGCAAGTGGCAGGGGAGACATAAGGTGTCTAATAGTCCCCTGATGTACCCATTAAGACAGGGCTTAAAATTTCAAATCCTAAGCTACTAGCCAGGCCTTAAGAGTTACTAGCCACCAACAAACACACACAGAGACACTTGTACACACACACACACACACAGACATGTACATACACACATAGAAACATGTACACACACACAGACACATGTACACACACACACACACACACATACAGACACATGTATACACACACAGGCACATACAGACATGCATACACACAGATACATGTACATACACAGAAATACACACGCACACACACATGTACATACACACAGACACATGTACATACACACACAAACACATGTACACACAGACACATGTATATACATACACACAAACACACAGACACATGTACACACACACATACATGTACATACAGGCAGACACATGTACAGATACACACATGTACATACACACAGACACATGTACATGCATACACACACACACACACACACACAGCTCTATAAAAAGTTGCAGTACTTCGTTGTTCACTCACAGAACTTCACTCTAGGGGGAGGCAGAGAGCACAGCACACACTCCTTCCTTTGCTTTCACTGTGCTCAGCTATTGAGCAGTCTGACGGCTCCCAGTGCCAGTGCCAATGCAGATCCAGCCTGAGCTCTGAGCCTGCTCAGCAAGACAGCCCTGGGGACTCACTCGCCCCTACCATAATTTCCACTCGCCATTGGCGAGCAGGTGAGTGGAAATTTGAAGGCCTGCATTAAGAGCACATGTCACCTGCCCAATGCTATAAAATAGGAGGCTTGTTCTTTAAAATGTTGAGTGGAAAAAAGTTAAAAACATTTGAAATAAAAAAAATTAAAATAATTAAAAGCACCATCATTGCTCCATGCACACACAAATGAATGCAAGCGAGCACAGTTGTATGTAAATGATTGGGCAACACAACTTGGGTATAGCTGCATCACCAGAATATGAGAAATTTAAGAAAGAGCATAGTGTATAATATAAAATATTAATGCTTAATTTTCCTCTATGCTCTTACATTGGCAAGTACACTATTTGTATCAGGATTTGAAAAAGTCAAGTAGCAAAATAAAACAAGTACTCCTGCGCATGGGTGTGATGTACCAGGGTAGTTAGACAGGATCCCCTATGAACCCAAATCCAGGGATATTGAGGCCTTACTGCCCTCCTACGACAGGGGAAGTCCAGCAATACTGCAAAAAATCAAACAAAAGAGAAAAAGGACACACCAGCCTAGTGCATTATCCCTGTGGGTTTATTGGTAGTATAAAGAGCTCAAAACATACTTACAAGCATAAGTAATATATGGCACGTAAAATCAGCATTTGTGGCACAGAGGATGTTAAGACTCAAGTGGACCCAATGCCAGCAGAAGTGTCGTCCAGGATCCAAGACATCTTACGCATTTCATGGGTACCCCTTCTTCATCAGAGCTAACTAGTTTGATCCTATCTATTTAGGTCTGATGAAGAGGGGGTACCCTTGAAACACATAAGCTGTCTTGAATCCTGGACAGCGCTTCTGCTGGCGTTGGATCCACTTGGGTCTTTACATCCTCTGTGCTATGAATGTTGATTTTATGTGTCATATATTATAAGAGAGAAAAGAGAGAAACATCAAGTCAATTAAACTCCTGGAATATTGATCCCAGTTAAGTAGCAGAGGGGGTTGTTAATCAGTTTCAGCTGCTTTGGTATTAATGAAATGAACAACAGATACACTAGATGGGGCAACAATGAGGTGACCCTCCCAATACAGGAATGGTTTTACAGGTGGAGGCCACTGACATTTTTTTTCGCTACTCTTCCTTTCTGACAAAAGTCGCACAGGCAGTCCAACATTCTCAAGAGCATGGAGGAGATTCCAGGAGACAGGCAGTTACTCTAGGAGAGCTGGACAGGGCCGTAGAAGGTCCTTAACCCATCAGCAGGACCGGTATCTGCTCCTTTGTGCTAGGAGGAACAGGGTGAGCACTACCAGAGCCCTACAAAATGACCTCCAGCAGGCCACTGGTGTGAATGTCTCTGACCAAACAATCAGAAACAGAGTTCATGAGGGTGGCCTGAGAGCCTGATGTCCTCTAGTGGGCCCTGTGCTCACTGCCCAGCACCATACAGCTCGATTGGCATTTGCCATTGAACACCAGAATTGGCAGGTCCGCCACTGGCACCCTGTGCTTTTCACAGATGAGAACAGGTTCATCCTGAGCACATGTGACAGACATGAAAAGGTCTGGAGAAGCTGTGGAGAATGTTATGCTGCCTGTAACATCGTTTAGCATGACCATTTTTATGGTGGGTCAGTGATGGTCTGGAGAATCATATCCATGGAGAGACGCACAGATCTCTACAGGTGAGACAATGGCACCCTGACTGCCATTAGGTATCAGAATGAAATCCTTGGACCCATTGTCAGACTGCACACTGGTGCAGTGGGTCCTGGGTTCCTCCTGGTACACAACAATGCCCAGCCTCATGTGGCGACAGTTTGCAGGCAGTTCCTGAAGGAATTGATACCACTGAATGGCCCCCACACTCGCTTGACCTAAATCCAATAGAACACCTCTGAGATATCATGTTTCAGCCCATCCGACACTGCCAGCTTGCACCTCAGACTGTCCAGGAGCTCAGTCATGCCCTGGTCCAGATCTGGGAGATAATGCCCCAGGACACCATCCGTCGTCTTATTAGGAGAATGCCCCGACATTGTTAGGCATGCATAAAAGCACCTGGGGGCAATACAAACTACTGAGTACCATTTTGAGTTGCTGTAATGAAATTTCAGCAAAATGGACTAGCCTGCAGCATCAATTTTTCACTTTGATTTTTGGGCTGTCTTTGAATTCAGTCCTCTGTAGGTTGATCATTTTTATTTCCATCAAATGATGGGTCATCCTTAGATTCCTAACACATTACCCAGTTCATATCACCTCCACCTCCCCAACATCCAAAATATGCACATTCCTAACTCCAGAAACTGCAAAGCAACTAATTCACTCCCTTATCATCTCCCGACTTGACTACTGTAACTCCCTCCTCGCCGGCCTACCCCAACACAGGCTATCCCCGCTTCAGTCTATCCTGAATTCTGTGGCCAGACTCATCCACCTTACCAACCGCTCCGTATCCGCCACCCTCTCTGTCAATCCCTCCACTGGCTTCTGATTACCCAACGCTTAAAATTCAAATTACTAACATTGATGTACAAAACTGTTCATAACACTGCCCCAAACTACATCACCGACCTGATATCCATCTACCACCAAAAACGCACTCTCCGCTCCTCACAAGACCTCATACTCTGCAGTTTTCTGGTCTCCTCCTCCCATGCCCGGCTCCAGGACTTCTCCAGGGCTTCCCCCATCCTCTGGAACTCACTACCCCAATCCATCAGACTGTCACCTTCCCTCCTCACCTTCAGGCGCACCCTGAAAACCCATCTCTTCAGAGAAGCCTACCCCACCCTCACCTAATTGCTGATCTCCTCCGCTCTTCCCACCACTCTATCCCCCACAGCTATTTCCTCCTGTATTACTCTCCCCTCCCTCCTAGATTGTAAGCTCCAAGGAGCAGGGCCCTCGAACCCCTTGTGTATTGTATTGCTACTGTGCTGTCTCGTGTACTGTCTCCCATTATAATGTACAGCGATGAGCAAACTGTTGGCGTTGTATAAATATTGTATAATAATAATATCAGTAGAGATATCCAGCATGATATTTTTCCCCATTGAGATCTGATGTGTTTTCAAAGTGTTCCTTTAATTATTTTGGGCAATGTATACATACACACACACACACACACATATATATATATATATATATATATATTTATATATAAAACAAGAAGTGCCTGGACAAGAACCTTGATGGCAGGATCATGCAGGTCTTATTTTCATGGAAACTGCATATTTCAGATATTGAACACAACTTTTTAAATTGCATAAAAGCTTACATGAGATTTAAGTGATTGCTTTTTAATCTACCTTAATTCCCAATTTATTCAGAAGCATCTCTGGGAACAAGCTTCCTGGTAGTCCTGCAGTTGATTTTATAACACCTGAGCACACTTAAACCCTCTTCCTAATCAGTTCATTCAGAGACAGTCAATAGAAAAAGTGTTTTAAAAAGTGATAGAAGAGTACTACAAAACCAAAGAAGAGAGGTATGCTTATCCCAGGCTATCAGGCACACAAAATTAGTGCTGTAACAGAAAAAAAAAAACTTTAACTTCCACTTTGTTCTAAGCCCCTTAGGGCTCGTTCACACTTGGCTGTTTTACCAACGCTTGCCAAACGCCCCTATAGCGTTTGGCAAGCATTGGTCTGGCGTTTGCCGAGCATTTTTTAACGCTCGGCAAACGCTCCGCAAACGCTGCATGCACGGTTTAGCAGCGGTTGCTAGGTGTTTGCAGAGCATTAATAACGCCACACAAATGCCTATAATGCAGTTTGAGTGGTGTTATCGCTCCGCAAACGCCCCGCAAACGCCCCGCGAATGGCGTCGCAACTGCACTGCAAACGCCGGCCGGGTGTTTGCGGAGCGGCACCATAGACGAGAATAGGAGGCTTCAAAGCCTCCTGACTTGACCAGAGGCGTCCGTTTTGCCGCGACACAATGTGACGCGACGCAAGCACTACCGTTAGAACAGCACCATGTGCTGTAATGTGCAGAATTGGCAGAGGCGTTTGGGAAGCGGTAAAAACGCTTCCCAAACGCCTCTCTGCTGCCTGCACACAACGCTAATGTGAACGTAGCCTTAGTTCACCATAAACTCTTTGGGATGATATTGTTATACTTGTTCACAGTCAGTGACATACAGCATGATTAGGTCAGGATCAGGTTAACATCTCAGGAGCATATGCCCTCACACAAAACTTAGTAATTGTAGAGGCCATACTCCTGTCCTGACAGGTACTCTTTGATGTCAGTGTCCATCAGATATACAGTGTGTTTATCTTACCCTTACCCAACCATAGGGTGTTGCAGCTTTTTAACCTGCTGTTCTGTGTTATTGCGGGGTACAGACAGTCATCAGCCATCAATAATTAAACATGAGGCTACAGAAAAAGGAAACCAACACCATTAACACCACAGTAGAACAGAGAATTTATTGGAGCCATGAGATCACACCATGGTTAATCCTTTACTCATTAGAGACAGCACATAACCCGACAGGTTTTGTTCATCAGAATTAAAAATTCACAGCACACGCTAGACTTGAAAAAGAACATATGTCGTGAGCAAAGGTGACAGCTACATAAAGCAATATGTTACCAACATAACTAAAAAAGTAGAAAAATACAATTAGAGGCACCCTATAAAAGTGTAGGCAGTAACCACAATCTTTTTTCTGTTCAAGAGCTACAGCCATTGCTGGTATCCCAGACTTCTGGTAGTATCAGGTACCATTTTCTATGTCACCAATGTGTGC